ATCATCTACTTCCTGGATTCAAACGCGGCAAGTACGCTAAGGCTCATTAGATCTAATCCCTTTGCTAATGATAGATTCTTTTTTGTAAAAGTTGATTTACCGGATTTTTTTGACTAATCGAGAAACAAGGGACAACCCCCTGTCACAGAGAGTCCTTTTTCTTGCTGCACAAGATCTATTCCTTGCATTCACTTCTTTTTTACTTCATTACTCCCTTGTTTCCCTCCCTTCCACCCCATCAATCTCGTGTGACGGTTCTCCACAAAGATTCTCCTTAAACGCTAACATGTGTAAAGGTCCATAGCAATTGCGCTGAAAATTAACTAGAAGTGTATTGAGCAAATTCCTTATATAACAAGCACCTTAGGACCTATCAGCGTTTGTGGGCAAACTTCTCACATTCACAACAGTTCCTTGAAATACTGTTACACGAATCATTTCGTCATTATGTTAGCGCTCGATTTTGCCCGACACATTCCTTTTTACACCCGATAGGGTTTTCGGACGAGCAGACCGACTGGCATGCATACCGGCAAACCAACCCATCAAGCAGGATTATACAATGGAGTGATCCCGCATTGTCTTCTTCACAAATTTCTTCCTCTTACTTACAGTCCTTCCTTCTGCTGATTTCTATCAGTCACTACGTCGTTCGCCAAGAAATGTTTCCATTCCAGTATGTTTCGCTGTCTTTTGCAACCTCGTCATCGCTTTTGCCGTCAATAGCATTCTGAAGAACTACCGCATTCCCCTAGCTTGATAGTTGCGAAAAAATGTTTCCAGAATCCTTATTGAGGGCTTTTTAAATTATCAGTAGCGGGAAAGCCAAGCTGTCTTTCCCTGAACGCAACAAAGGGAACCATTAATCCAGGCGTTCCTGTCCCTACCATACAGTTGAGGTCAAAAGTCTCAGCCGAAGGATTTGTTCGTGCCCTTTTCCTTGCCTTACCAGTCCCTTTAAATTTGGATATGTTGTGCCTTCTATTTCTTTGGAATCTCTGTAAGGATTCAAAGCACTAGAAGGAACTCAAAAGAAAAGTTTTTATTCACCCTTCAGCACTTTTTTGAAAAGAAAATGTAACGTATGAGAACCCTCCGGCGAACATTTTTGACCACTACTGTATCTCATGAAATCTCCATATTCGATATTTTTGTCTCAATTATCTTTGTCGAGCACAATCTCTAGCGCTCCCAACTCTCTGTTGCTGAATTCCCGGAATTGATGTTGTCAAGTGCATGCTTGTCAAGTGTTAAGAAGATTCTTTTACCGAATTTCTGCTGACGGCTTGATAGATTAACACCGTGGATGACCTCGTTGGTGTCCGAGAAGCTTCAAAATTAACAGCAGATTTCTTTTCTTGATTCTCATAGGCTTACAGTCATGGTCTCTTCCAGCTCTACAAGGGTCTCACTCCACGAATACCAAAATCCGTTTCTTAGAAAAAACCTTTCCATGAAATAGGCATTTCAGTTTTTCGCTGTCATGCTGGGCGCTCGCCGTCGTGTTCCTTCTGCTAGTGCCACACCATTTCGGCATGGTGAGTCGATTTGGCGATTCATTCTGACCTCTTTTCAACCTAACATTTACCGTTTAGGCGATGCTGGCCACAGGGCTATCGGCTCTCTTCGCCTGCCTGCTCTATCTGATCATGTCTCCATGTGAGCTACAAATCGGATTTGTCGGCGCACAAGGAAACCGCATTCTCATGAAAATGAGCTTCCAATGGGCGTTCTACTGTGTTTTTGCCGTAGGTAAGGCCTCATGGTACACTGGAAATAATGCCACCTATTGTTGGTTAGGGCAAGTGTTTTGGAATGCCGAAATCCATTGGTAAGGGTCCTGCTCTACAGCAACAGTCGCCTGAGTTACGACCAATTTGTTTTGATCGGTTGAACCTTTCTTAAGGTCATATTTAAAATTTCTTCAGACTCTTTGAAACTTTTTTAGAACGACATCAATTAGCATCCTAAGAAATCTGATTTAATATTAGCTAAACAGCATTTTAATTTGTCAAATATTGCACTTCGCCGCTAATAATGCTATTCTTTAATAGTTGCTCAATTAGCTGTAGTAGAAGTCACGAGGTGGGACAATGGGTTTGAATTTGGCTGCATGCGACAAAATTCGTCGCACGCGGCGATTTCCCCGAGCAATCTTCCCCATTTACCGCCAAGCGGTCATGTTTACCTTCATCTATCACAGAAATATTAAGGCCACTTTTGCTCCAATGATAGCGCCGAGGCCTGATAGTGCTTTTAGTTGGAATAAGCTTTCGAAGTACCGGCTGAGTCGAACCGGCTCGAATGGAGCGGAAAAGAGATTCGAGGCCATGGGTCGGTTATTCTTGCGTAGGCCTACGGGGGAGGGAATGGACCAGGAAAAGAACCA